TTTCTAATGTTCCCACTAGAGCCAGCGCTTTACCGGCAGAGGCCACACTCATCTGTTCCTCCTAGGACCCAGTGCAGTGACTGGCACACAGTAGGTGCTTAACAAATGCTCGCAGAAGCAATGGTATCTCCTGTTTCGAAAAGATGCAAACCAAGCCATCCCTTTCTCCTCAAACCAGAACCCTGGAATTATTATTTCCAAACCTACAAACCACATATTTTAAAAGTGGCTGCTCGCCTTCTCTAAATCCTGTTTTGAAAAGTGCCCCCCACCCCGCGCACCCCCCTTTCACACTCCCTGGGCGTGCTTGTCCGGAAATTTTAACCAGTGCTCTAACTGCCCCTTCCCGGGAGCCTGCACCTGAGGGCAACCTGAGCTGAATCAGGACGAAGGAGCCAACTGCAAAGAAGGCACTTTACACCCTCTCCGCGTCCAAGCCTCGGCGGCACGGTCTTGCTGAGAGGCCCCGCAGCCCCGGCCCCTTCTCCACTATGCTCTCCCGGGGTCTAAGTGAGGGGGCCCACCCGCTACCGCCCCTTAAACTCAGCAAGCTGGCGCCCGGCGCCAGTTCTGGAGCCCGAGCCCCCGCCCCCGGGTCGCACCCACCGCCCGGGCCGCGCACGGCGCTCCTCAGCTCGCAGGCCCGGCCCGCCGCCGGGCCGCTCACCTTCGTCCGGCTCCCCAGCGCTCGCCACGGCCAAGAGCTGCGCCAACGCCAGGAGCAGGACGAGCAGGCAAGCTTTCCCAGGCCTCATCGCGGGAGTGGGAGCGCGGCCTCCGGAACCTCGGGCTCCGGCCTGAAGAGCGAAAGGCGAGGGACGGAAAGAGGTCCCCTCAGGAAGTCCTCGCCGGCGATTGGCTGGAGGCGGGAAGCCGCGGGCCAGCCAATCCCAGGCCGACTAGGGGCGCCAGGCCGCGTGCGCCCGGCTGCGCGTCCAAGGCCTGAGGCGCCGGCCCCTACACCCGCTCTCGCCCCCGGCTTCCTACGCGAGCCCCGCCGCTCGCGCGTTTAAAGCTCCGAGCCCTAGCGTGAGGTGCCCCCTTCTGATTGGCTGCGCCGCGGCCACCAATCAGCAGCTGCCACTCGGTTTGCCGGGAGCGCACAGGCTGAGAGAGGGAGTCGGGAGAACAAAGGCGGTGGGCCGGAGCCGGAGGGGCGGGGCCGTGCTACATCTCGGGGCGCTATTGGCCGACAGCGAGGCGGGGCGGGGCCAGGGAAAACGCTGGGCGCGGCAAAGCTCCTTCTGGGCGCTGAGCTTGGCAGGAAGAACACGTGTCCTTTACTGGGCCGTGGGGGTAGGGGTTGTTCGTGCAACCCGCTGGAGTCCTTGGAGGCTCGGGACCCAAGCGGCAGAGGAGCCCGAACCAGTCTGTTGTTGGGAACGGGACAGAACGGGACTCCCGAGTTGGCCTTATGTTCGTGGGCTTTGCTTTTTTTTCTCCTTGAGCAAATAAAAGTTTGCATTTCTTTCCTGGGTAAAAACATGTATTGAGCTTGGAGAGGGGATGAGCATGCAGTCAAGGAAGCTTCTTTCCGCGGTTTCATCTACGAATAGGCGATGCGTGTCTAAACTTTGCCTCATGTTATTTCACTCCTGATTTTCTGCAAAAATGAAATACCAGATAGGCAATCTAGTGGTTTACCAGATAGGCAATCTTGTGGTTTACATAAGTCTAAATATAACCTTGAGGTTTTCCCTCTTGACAACTTAGGAAAATAAAACTAGGTTAAGATGATGATCTTTGCATGTCAAACCTGTGGTGTATATTAGGATTTGATATTTCTTTAATGTTTGGGGATTAGTGTGCCTGCAGTTATAGAAGACAAGTGGGGGTGGGGGCGACCTCAAGAGTGCAGGGGTCTTCCTCTGTTAAGTGAGGAAGAAAGAAAGCCGGTCACTCATAGGCTTTAGCAATTAGAAATTTTTTATTTACTATATTTTTATTGAGCTCTTGTGAATCTGATGGTTTCCTACTCAGTTTTGTAGGGTAGAAAAATATTATGCAAGTAACTTACAATAGAATATACACTAAGTGATTTATTAGAATGCTACGAATGTAGAATGTCAAACAGTTCAATATCAATATTACCTTTCTAGGTCGTTTCCTATGAATCCTTGCTTAACTAAGAGGAATGAGAATGCCATTTATCCAGATGTGGGATGAATACAACCAATTTCACAAAGACCTTTGTTGATACAAAATATGGGAGGAAACCTCTCAAAACTTAAGCTATGGGAGGAAATCTTTCTCTCCCAGTCTGTCTGTCTCTTTCAAGTTAGAAAGCTCCTCATTCCTTTTTTATCCCTCAATCCCACCTGATTTGGTTATGGGTACAAGCAGGCTGGGAGGCCACTGCGTCGACGGTGAGAATGGAGAGAAATGTTTTCGGGACAGTCTCCACAATTTCCACAATTGGTTGTGAATATAGATAGGCTGTGTTAAGTCATAGAACTGCCCACTGGCTCGTCCCCAGGGCTGCCATTTCACATGAATAGGTTGTTTTTATAGATCAGTTTGACTATGTGCTTCCCTCTTCTGCCGCACGGCACTCTCCAGAGAATTGGCCTATGGGAAAATAATCCCCCCATCTCTGAGTAGTCTCCAGGTAGATCTATGACAATGTGCCAATCCTGGCAATGGTGTCAGCCATCAACTCAAGAATATATGGTCAGAAAGCTAAACAGAACAGGCAGCTGCACATCTGGTACATGACACTTATGATCTGTCTTTTCAGGAATTAAAGCTTGTAGGATGAAACAATTAAAAAAAATTTTTTTTAAGACTTTATTTGAGCCAAACTGATGACATATGCCAGAAGGCAAGATCTCAAATGTTCTTGATAAGCAGGGTTGAGCCTGGTTAGTACTTGGATGGGAGACCACCTAGGAGCACCAGGTGCTGTAGGTGTAAAAAATCGTAAGCTGACAAGGTCCTTGTAATTTGTGAGGTCAACCAAGGGTTGCCTCGCCTAAATATATAATAAAATAAAATAATAAAAAATACAATGGACTAGTGGTTACCAGAAGGGAGGGGGAAATAAAAAAAAAATGTTAAAAAATAATAAGAATAAAACAAAATAAAAATCAAATGCTCCTGAAACAACTTCATATATGTGCCGGAGAACTCAGCAATGGTCCTGATCAGCATTCCATGGTTCTGATATACTTCCTCCTCAGTAGAAAGGAGAAGATCAGAAGCTTTCAGAAATAAAGGAATTCATTTTCAGAAATCTCTGCCTCTTCAGGCAAACACTATTGTAGCCAGAGATACAACTTACATGTCATTTCGTGTCCTACATTTTTAACTTCATATCACATCATAATAATTTCCCCCTACTGTTACATTGTCCTCTGAGGGAACTTAGCTCTCCCTTGAAGGGTCCACCTTGACTCAAGAAGATTAGAGACTGAAATTAGGTCCCAGGCCCACACTCAGAACTGCTTTAGCAGCTCAGGCAGCTGCCTGAGAATGCCAGCCATATTCCTTAACTCCATTCTATGCACAGCTAAGACATCATACTCAGATTCTATCATTACAGTTTACAGTTTAGATGCAACCTTTATTGCATCTTCCAATACTTTGCCTTTTATGTGATTCAAAACGGGAAATGTTCACACATACAGGTGTGGCCCGCCACTGAAAGTAAGACCAAGCTGACGTTTTTGCAGGAGTTGTCTGTGACAAGACATTCTTTCCAAGTTTGCGGAAATAGGTAACTGGCACAGTCATTTGTTTGTTAAGCCAATAGTCTTGGCCACCATTTCATTATTTCTCTAAGGTGAAGGAATTCTAAAGATGTTTTAAGATTCAAACTAAGATTATTCTCTTAGTATTCAAGTTTCATTGTCACCAAATGCTTAACAAGCATTTGGTAGCTGTTATTAAAAGACCAACACTAATGGTATTTGTGGAAATTAAACAGTAAAACTTAAAAAGACAGAATACTTTTATATTAGAAACAAAAAAAGTATTCATTGTGAAAAGGTAGAAGTAGAGGCCTGGAGTCAGACTGCCTAGCCTTGACCTTGACCTGACCACTTCATTTTCCCATTTAACACTGAGTACCGTGTGCCAAGCAGTTCTCAGTGTGCAATCTTGCATGTATTTTGTAATATCTGATGCTATTTTAAAGTGCATTTTTAAAATTTCAAAACCCTTCATTGCACATGTCTGAAAGTTTAGTTGGCTTTTGTTGTTCACCTTGTCACCCCGCAACCCTGCTCAGCAGCTCACGCTAGTTTGGGTGGCTTTGTTGCAGATTCCATTGGATCTTCTACATAAATCATGTCATCTGCAAATAAAGGCAGCTTACTTGTTTTTAATTATGGATGCCTTTCATGTCTTCTGTTTTCCTTCTTTCACTGGCCAGAACCTCAGTACAACTTTGAAGAGAAATAGTGAGAGTGGGTATTCTTGCCTCGTTCCTCATGTGACGGAATGAATTCAGTCTTTCCCATTACATCCGATGTTAGCTGTAAGTTTTTCAGTAGCTCTTCAACAGGTTGAGGAAGGTCTCTTCTAATTCCTAGTTTTCTGAGAGTTCTTTTTTCTAATCAGAAATGGATCATATGGCTTTTTTTTTTTAGTCTGTTCATACAAATTATGTTTTCAAGGTAAACCAACCTTTCATTCCTGAGACAAACTTCACTTGTTTGTGATATGTTATCATTTTTCTATATTGTTGGATGATATTTTAGTAAGAGGTTTAGGTAAAAAGACATCAGTCTTTTATTTTCTTGTTATATTTTGTCTGACTTTGATATCTCACAATAATGCTGGCCTCATAGAATGAGTTGGAAAGTATTCTCTCTCAATTTTCTAAGGTTTGTATAGATTTCTTTCTTGCTTGCTTAGTAGAATTCTCTAGTGAAATTTTCTTTGTGGGGAAAGAACTATAAATTTAATTTAATAGATATAGAGCTATGCAGGTTATTTATTTCTTCTTGAGTGAGCTTTTGTAGTTAATGAGAATTTGCCTATTTTACATAAGTTGCCCAATTTATTGGCATAAAGTTGTTCATAGCATGCTCTTCTTGCACTTTAAGTAACTGTGGAGTCTGTAAGAGCAGAGGTCACCTCTCGTATTGCGGATACTGATAATTTTTGTCCTTCTTCCTTTTTTTCTGATTAGTGTGGCCAGAGGTTTATAAATTTTGGGGTCTTCTCAAAGAACAACTTTTGGTTTCATTGATTTTCCTTGTTTTTGTTTCCTAATAAATTGATTTCAGCGCTAATTTTATCTCCTTTCTTCTGCGTACTTTAGGTTTCATTTACCCCCTTTTTTCCCCAGTTCTTAAAGAGGAAATAAGTGTAAATATGTCTCTGTGTTATATATGTGTGAATGTCCTAGCTCTGTTCACTGAGACAACCTGGGAGAGGTAACACCCAAATGTCAACTGAGCATGCCTACTGCAAATCATGGCTTCTAACACTCTCTGTTAAATGAAAAAGGGCTCCCTGAAGAAATGGCCAACTCCAAGACAGAGAGAGAAAAAAACAGAAAATGAGCCTAGAACAGCTTGTACCCGGGAAAGCAAGGAAGTTGTTCAAGAATGATGGGAACATGTCAAAAGGACACAGAGCCTGTGTAAGAGAGCTCCCACTGTCCAAATTTGGGACAATTAGAGCATCAAAATAAATACTGATAGAAAAGGATTATAACCCATTGGATAAAATAGGAATAAAGTAGGAAGTTATGAGTCCATACAGATATAAAATATGTAACTAAATAAATGGAAAATTTGATGAGGAATGGGATATTTACATGATTTCAAAGTACCTCCCCACGAAAATCACAAAACACTTATTAATTACAAAGAGGAAGTATAATTACAGTGGAGAAGTTCTGGCAGACACCACCGTAACTAAGTGATCAGTGTGAACATCATCAGCAATGGAAGGAACTGAAATCATGTGCTGCCCAGTAATATGCAATGAGAACCAGCATCACTTCTTGGCTATGGCCCTTAAGATAAATAACCTGAACTCAATCATGAAGACACATCCGACACACCCCAATTGAGGGGCGTTCCACAACATAACTGCCCTGAAATCTTAAAAAGTATCAAGGTCCTGATAGCCTAAGCCTGTCTCTTCCTTCCAGAAACTGAGTGAAGCAAGCAAACTGCAACACCTGAATTTTTTTCCCTACCTACCAAGTCCCCAGTGTTACATATTAGTACGTTCAAGGTCTAAGTCTCAAGATACAACAGGTGACAGTTACTACCTAACAAAGACTGTCACCTTCTCAGACCAGGACAGTCATTACTTACCACCACCCAACTTTCAACAGCCATACAACCTGAAGAAAGTCACTTCGACCTCTCTGTAACTTGCTTTACTCATCCATAAAATAAGGGAGTTAGATTATGATCTCTAAGAATTCTATTCTGAAAATCTTTTATTTTTGCTTTGGTGAAAAAGTCCATAAGAATTTGTCATTTTTCTTGGGAAACTGTTTTGAGTTAGGCTAAGTATCAGGAAACTGAGTTCCTGTCACCCCTGGGGGTCTTTGAAAGGTTTTGAATCTAAAATAAGAGTTGGAACCATCGCATCATTTTCTGAAGAAGCTGTTGCTGAAGTGACAGTCCCTATCATTGCAATTTAGCGTTGTACTATCCTCTGTCCCCCATGGGACTCCTTTCCTTTTCTCAGATGTAACTTCCTCTGTTATTTCTCCCATTCTATACCTCACCAACAGTATTCCCAACATACTAACCGAGTTTCAGGGGAACAGGAACACTCAGAAAGCCCTGGGCTGACTGTAAAATCCGTGGCTATGTGTAGGACTTTCATTAATCCAGATTCAACAAGTGATCGTAGAGCGCCCTCTGGTGGCCGTACACTGGATGAAAAACAATGGTACAGAAGCAAAGTCTCTGCTTCACGGAACTTAGTGTCCAGGGTGAGAGCACCAACCTCTCCAGAACCCAGCGGCGAGCTCCAGTTAGACGGCTAGGCCAGGGCTGCAGCTTCCAGTCAGTCCGAGCGGCCAGGACGGCGCCTCCTCCAGCCGGAAGAGCCCGAGCAGGCTTTGTCCCGCTGCAACCACAAACCGCCCTCTCTGCCCAGCCTAGGTGTCACCACCCCCACCTGACGTCACCTGCAGAGTCTGCGTAGTCTGAGCCTTCCAATCTCTACCCAGCGCAGTTTTCAAGGTAGGAGGCACTCCGGGGCAGGACCCTTGCTCCTTAGCTCCGCCCACAGCGGCCGTTGCCCTGGGGATACACAGGGCATCCTGGGAACCTTGCCTTTCCTGCACGTGGACGTGGTTCCTACAGCGCCACCTTCCGGAAGAGCCAACAGCTTCCTGCTTCAACCCTGTAGCACTGCATGCTTTACCTGCGGCATCCAGGTCTCCTTGGCTCTCTGGACCAGGAGAACTGGAATTACTAGACTCCTCACAGCTCTAGCTCCTTCCTCCTTTGGGGGTCACACAAGGTTGGACCTAAAATTGTTTGGCATATAAGTCTGAGAATTGGATCATGTGTAATGTTGCCTTTTTCTGTAATTTTTGCAACTCCAAACTGTCCTTTGTGTCCATTGCACAGCCGGTTCATTGCTCCAATCACCTCTCCACAACCACGCCTCACCTACACACGATGGTGGTTTCCACTGCTTCAGGGAAGATTTGAGCGCCCTGGGGTTCTGCTGCAGCTTCTTTGAGAAATGGCCAAGATAGGAGGGGGCCATAAGGGAAGCAAACAGGAGGGTAGACTAATGAAAATTTATGTACTGCTTTTAGGCAAATAGGACTAGAGCAGGGAGCTTTTGTTGTATGTTTCGTCTCAATTGCCTTCCATTCAAAAATAATTCTTTATGCCAAAGTTGCATAGTTTGGAGTAGCATATTCTGCTACCCTTCAACAGTCAGCACCCCATTGCCACAGATGACTCAGCTAGCACACACTAACAGGATTGTTTGTAAGTTAGAGAAGTAGTGTGGAAACGATTTCTTTAAGAGAAAATTGAAATATCCTAGCTCTCTATGCTCTTAACACACCTCCCCAGAGCCCATAGTGGTTACAGTAAACGAATTTTGTGATAAAGGTAGGGGGATGGGGGAGGGTGACTGAGACTTAAACCATATACCATCTAGCTTATAAAAAATTTAGGCTGAACCTGAAACTTAGTTTTCTGAGAAATGCTAAGGAAACATGAAGGATTCATGACATTATCTTTATAATTAGTGTCTTCTCAAATATTTCTGAAAATTAGTTTTTAAATTTAGCTTTGATTTCCTGAATTACCTATGATTTCTCTGGAATACTTTTTTTCATGTTTGTCTCGGTCTTTCTCATGTAAAAGTTTTCTTCCAAGTGTTAAATAACCCTTGCCTGTCCCTATTTAAGAACGCAGCGGAAGACGTTAGTTAGGGACTTTGTGTATAAGGGTGTGGGTCTCACGTGAGTTTAGGGTGACTCGTTTAAGGGTCTTCTAAGTGCTAGAATGAGGGCTTTTATGTCGGATAACACCCATAACTGTTCTAGTTATTTCCTCTTCCCTCTTGCTGCCATTTGCCCGCTGCTGCTGCTGCTAATGGACTGGATGGAGTGGGGCTTGGCTATTCATTGTAATACTTTCAATTCAGTGCCCTGGCTTCAGGCCTTGGTCCTACTTGGCTCCTCAGGTCAAGTTGCTATTGAGCAAATCAATACTGTCCTCAGCTCAGTGCCCTTCTGCCTCTTCCCGGTTCGGCAACCCCGTTCCGCTGCATTGGGTACCATTCTTCCAATGCCTTTCTGAAATCTCTTGAGATTTCTCATCTGCTGATGGTCTCCTCTGAATTCTCTTCATTGTTGTGGATTTATAGCCTTTAAAAAAAACTCTTTAATTTTAATTGGCTATTGAGAGGCAGAAGAGACAAATATGTGCATGTGCTTAGTCCTATCTTGAATCAAGAGTGACTGGGCTTTGCGAATAGCATCTTGTCTCCTGCTTGTAGCAGTTATGCAGCTGCTTCCCTTCAGTGTTCCAGGTACACAGTGTAACACATTCCATGTTAAAAATGGCTCAGTGGAAACCACTGTCTTCCTTTTGACTTTAATGGGGATTTTATTTTATTTTATATTTTTACCATTTTGTCCCTTTAATATGCTCTTCGTTGTTGGGCCAGATTATTCCTTTGTCGGTGACAAGATTCTCCTTGGGGGTAGGGGTGGGTGTAATGCTTGTGAGCATTCTTCCTTATTCTTGAAGGCCAGGGATTTCACCAGGATGCTGAGCATTGATGTTTCTTTTTAGGAATTGGGAAAGGACAGGAAGGCAAGTTTTATGAACCTGTGCTTATGATGCCTTCTTTCCCAGAAGTACCTCTATTCTTTAAACACCACTCTGCTGTCTTTTTCATTTTTAGTGTGAGCAGCCTGGGGCACTGGAGTCTAGCTGGGTCTTATGCTTTTTCTCAATCTTCTCCAAAACATGTCAAGTTTCTAACGAAATTCAAACACTGGACATTTTACTATCGCTGAGATCCTTCAATTGTAACAGACAACATGTGAGAACACCATACCAGAGGCCCTGGCCTTTGGTCTCCCTCAAAACTCTACCTGGTTCATAGTCGCATCCTCTTCCCCTGGGTCCCTGCACCACGGTGCTCATCGGGGCAGGGCCACCGCCCCTTCCTTGCTTACGCTGATGCTCTCCATGCTGTGTGAGGCTGGCTACCCTGTGAACACAACAGACATCACCATGTGCTTCTGATGACAAACCTGCCTAAATGACTTAATCTTACTACTTTCAATCACCTTTGTTAGTGTGCCATCACTGGAGGAAAGAGGGTGCTCTAAACAATTAAAGGTTTACCCTGACTTAAAGCTGTTTCCTCTGTCCTCTAAAACCTGAGATTCTCAACCTTAACAGACTAAGAGTTACTTTGCTGGAGCCAGGACTATTCTTCACTAGTGTTTTCCGAAATGAGTCTTACACTCCTGTGTCCACAAGGTCACAGTAAGTGTTTTAGGAAAAAAAAATCCCAAGGTCAAGAATATACTACACATTACATTTTCCTCTTGGAGAGGACTCTGTGTACGTGCGGGAGGGGGAGAATTACTATTTAACTTTATTTAAACGAATTATTATTTAACTTTATTTAAACGAATGGGCCATGTAATTTTTTTTTTTTCAGAATACCTTTGGAGCTAGTGTTCCAGAGAAATCATCTGTGGTACATTGTTTCACAGTAATGCTAGTTGCAGTTCACTGACAATCTCACTTTCCAGCATCCCCCAGAACTTCAGGTCGGCCATTCTGTTCCATGAAAATGAACCCCCTGAAAGTCAGGCATCCTTTGTATGAATTACAACTCCGTCCCTGAAGCATAAACACTGTGCTAACGCACCAGATGCCATATTTTCCCGTTTAACGTTTGAAAACTCTCCACAGTATGCTGTTGCTGCCTGTAATTTCCCCTGATAAAGCTGTTTGTCTTTGTCATTTTGTCTTACCTCAGATTCAGTCATCTGCTCACTCTATGAAGGGGAATCGCATTCACTCTCTCAGCCCCAAATAGCATGTGGAACTCCAAAATCGACACTACCTTTCCCAATCTCTTAGCTAAATTCTAGTCCCATACGTCTGAGCACCTTCAGTTTTACGTTTCTTCAACTCACATTAGCCAAACTGTCCTGAAATTACCAGCTTTTCCCCAGGGGGAACTACGCACACTCACCGTGAACCTGCGGCCCTCACATAACTACGATTCAGAGAACTGCTATTACTATCGGTTTCAAAATAAATGAATCAAAACCACATCTAATATCATATGAGGTCTGCAACAAAATCCACCGGATTTAACCCCACAGTTTGGGATCACACTATGAAAAAAGGAAGAGGGCGTTTCACGGCCAATCCCTCCTTTCAGCCTCGTGAACAGTACTGGAGGGGTTTCCGGTCTAAATTCAAGTTGAGATTTCAAAGCTAGCTTAGCATTTGGGAGAAGCTTACCACTTAAGATGGCAGGAAGAACAAATCTCTTTTTTATCAATGGATGGGAAATATAACCGGTGATGCTTTAAGACAAACAATCCTCTGTGGTTTCTGATATTCCTAACTTTTATTACATTCTTGCTCAAAACAGGACCCCTGCTCCTCAAAGCCGGCTACGGCTGCTGAGGACTCGGGCGGGCCGCCTCCGCGGGGCGCTCTGGGGGACCCGTCCGCCTCAGCTCCAGTCCGCCTCGATCATTGCAAACAGCTGGCTGAGCCTTTTCTGCACGTCGGGCCCGTTCGCAGCGCCCCGGGGCTTTGTGTGCACTCTGGTGTGTTCCGCCAGCTTCGACTTATAAATGAAGCCCTTCCCACAGTCGCCACAGGAAAACGGCCTCTCCGGCCTGTGGATGCGCTGGTGCCTGAGCATGTGTCCCTTCTCCCGGAAGTTTTTGTCGCACTCGGGACAGCGGAAAGGTCTCTCCCCCGTGTGCAGGCCTTGGTGGCTGAGCAGCTGTGCCTTTAAGCGGAAACTCTTGTCACATTTGGGACACTGGAAAGGCTTCTCCCCCGTGTGTGTCCTGATGTGTTCGACGAGCTTAGACTGCTTCGCGAAGCCCTTGCCACAGTCGCAGGAGAACGGCATCTCGGCGCGGTGCAGCAGCTGGTGGGCCTTCATGTCGGCCTTCACGCGGTAGCGCTTGTCGCACTCCGGGCACTGGAAGGGCCTCTCCCCCGTGTGCAGGCGCCGGTGACTCAGCAGCTGCCCTTTGAGGCGGAAGCTCCTGTCGCAGTCGGAGCACTGGAAGGGCCTCTCCCCGCTGTGCACGCGCAGGTGCTCGGTGAGCTTGGACCGCCTGGTGAAGCCCCTGCCGCACTCCGCGCACGAGAACGGCCTCTCCTGGCTGTGCGTGCGCTGGTGCGCCTTCAGCACGCCCTTCAGGCGGAAGCTCTTGCTGCACTCGGGGCACTGGAAAGGCCTCTCCCCGCTGTGCACCCTCAGGTGCTCACGGAGCTTGCACTGGTGGGTGAAGCCTCTGCCGCACTCGCTGCAGGAGAACGGCCTCTCCCCGCCGTGTCGCAGCCGGTGGGCTCTCAACATGCTCTGCAGGCGGAAGCTCAGCGGGCACTCCGGGCACTGGAAGGGCTTCTCGTCTGTGTGCAGCCGCTGGTGCCGCAGCAGCTGTCCCCGCTGGCGGAAGCGCCTGCCGCAGTCAGCACACCAGAAAGGCTTCTCCCCGCTGTGGACTCGGCCGTGCTCCGCGAGTCTGCACTGTTTGGCGAAGGCCTCGCCGCACTTCCGGCAGGAGACCGGCCTCTCCCCACTGCGCACGCGCTGCCGGACCCTCCGCGAGCCACCCCGGCCCAAGCTCCTGTCACACTCCAGGCACGGGAAGGGCTTCTCTCCCGTGTGCCCCTTGATGTGGCTGGCGAGCTTGGCCTTGGTACAGAAGCACTTGTCGCACTCTGTGCAAGAGAATGGCCTCCCCCTGGGGGGGCAGCGCTGCAGAGTCTCCTCATCCCCCCTCAGGAAGCAGTGCTCTCCGCCGGCGGCGCAGGGGCCTGGCTTTTCCCCTGAGTGCACGCTGCTGAGCTCGGCCTTCACACTGAAGGCCCCGCTGCCTTCCCTGCAAAAGACTGGCCTCCCCACGCTGGGCTGGCCCCGCTGAGCCTGCATGCTGTTCTTCGGGAGAAAGCTCTTGTCATATATGGGGCACTGGGGGGGCCTCTCCCTCTTGTGCAGGAGGTGGTGGCTGAGGAGGGTCTGCTTGTGATGGAAGCACATGTCACATTCGGGGCACTGCAATGGGCTCTTCCCCGAGTGTGCGGCCAGATGTCTAAGCAAATACCTCTTCAGGCGGAAGCTCCTGCCACATTCACGACACCGGAAATGCCTCTGTCCCCGCTGAGGCTGCAGGTCAGCTTGTTTGCTGAATTTCTTCCAGGCCCCACGCGGCTGGTCTTTTGGGTGGCTCCTCTTGTGCTTCTCTAAGTGGTTCTTCTTCCAAAAGCTCTCCCCGCAGACAGGACAAGGGTGCGGGGCGCCCTTCCCAGAGAGGGTTTCCTGGATGCCTGGGAGACCTGGGGCTCTGGGACTCGGGACTCCTTCTCTTTGGGTAGGTTCCCTGGAGCAGTGGCCAGCTGGGATTAGAGCCCGTGGGTCGTGTTGGTGTGGCTTCACGAGGGTGACACCTTGGTCGGGCCTGAAGGAAACATCTTCACTTTTCCCTAATAAGGGTTCAGAGGGACACTGGCTCAGAAGAGGATCCACTTGAAAATGGCATTCAGGCTCTCCTGAATGCACGGCTTGCTGACTTCCTGAAATTGAAAACAAAAATTCAGTTAGAATTCCTGTCTCTAGCATGACTAAAGGCTTATGACACCAATAGTGACCTGTAACAGTGACCTGTGGTGGTGTGGAAACCCAGTTTCCAACCACTGAGCTAAAAACAGGGTACATTTCAGTGTGGTCCCATTTCATGACCTGGAGTTTGATGAGAATCTGCTGAAATTAAACTGAACATTCTTAGAATAATATTGAAAAGAGGAAAATGCAGGTCGCAAATGTAGGGCCTAAGCTCTGGAACCAGACCGTCCGGGTTTGAGTCCTTTCTGTCTACTGTGCAAATTCTGTAGAGCTAATCTCTTGGCTTTGGTCCCTTCTCCTGCAGACATAGGCACAACAGCACACAAGACTGCTGTGAGAACGGAATGAGTTAACATGTGCTAAACGCTCGGCACGGACCTGTACACGCGCACCACTGTCATGACGTCGGGACCATCAGACTTGTCCCGTTTGGACGTGCAGACATTCCTGGAGTCAGGAGGGATGACGGCAGTGTCACTGACAGAACCCTGACTGCCGCCGCGGCTCTGCGTAACCCGTGAGCTGTCCCTCAGACCAGGCAGCAAGGCCTTGGCTCTGCCCCTCCTTCTTCGCCCTATTCCTACCGACCTTTCAAAAAACGTTTCTTAGAAGAATGACAGATGGCAAAAAGTGAAATAATTTGTAGAGAAAAACTCGTTTACTCTCCAAAAAGAAGCAACTAAAAACTAAAACTACTCACAAGACTTCTTGGAATGATGGCCCCATCTGACTTCCTCATTCCTTCCGTACCTTAATGCTGACTCTTATGAATCCAAAAATCACAGACTCTCCCTTCATGACAAGAAACACGGAGGAAAGCTAAATTTTAGACATTCAAATAAAGACAACAGTCTCCAGGGAGGAAGGAAGCAGTTTCCCCGCACCTATCACTAAGAAGAGCTCACATTCGCTGAGTTCTTCTTGTGTGCCAGGTACCATTTTAACACTTTACATACGTTAACTCATATAGGATTACATATGGTAATCCTATAACACAGATATTTTTATTTTCTTCGTTTTATAGAACAGGAAACTGAAATAGTGAGAAGCTGAATAATTTGCCCAAGGTCACCCAGAAAAGGCAACATCCAGATTCAGGATCCAGAACCCACATTCCTAACCACCGTGTTTAACTGCCTTTCTCTAGAATGTACCAGATGTCAAGCCTCAGCCCAGTCAAAAAAAAAAAAAAGACAAGATCAGAGAACTAGAACTAAGAAACCAGAATGTGGAATCTTAAGGAAAGGGCTCTGATTTCTTAATACTCACCCCCAAACTGCTGTCCCTCAATAACTGAATCAAAATACAGATCAGCCGAGGAGCAAATTATGTTTCCTGATTTCTGTGTTTCTCCCAAATTCCAGAAGAGCTCTTTCCCCTGTTCAATATGGGATATTAGTTCCGGTTTGGGAAGTCCATCATCTGTACAGAGAAGTCAGATAAGGGAGTTTGGTTTCCTTGAGCACCAAATTTAAAGTATGTCAAGTTGCTGTTAAATTTAATTTAAATCCAATTTAAATAAAATATTTAAAACCTAGTCTCGATCTTCATCCTGGTTGAACTCTCAGCAACATTTAAAATGAAAAGATTTTTCCAAAAATAAAATCAAGAAAACAACTGCATTTACGTAACATCAAAAAGAGGAAAATACTTAGGAATAAATTCAGTAAAAGAAATGCAAGTCTTGTACAATAAAAGCTATAAAATATTGTTGAAAGAAATTTTAAAAGCCCTAAATAAATGGAAAGACATCTCATGTTCATGAATTGGAAGACTTGATATTGTTAGGGTCACAATACTCCCCAAATCCCATATGTTGGAATAAGTGGATATCCATTACAAAAGAAGTTGGATTCCTACCTCATGCCATGTACAAAAATTAACTCAAAACTATTTACAAAAAATTAAGATTAAAAGACCTAAATTAAGTGCTCAAACTATAAAACTCTTAGAAGAAAACATAGAAGTGAATCTTAGTGACTGTGGATTAGGCAATGGTTTCTTGGTGGACAGCTTTCCCCAGTCTCACTGCCTGGGGGATTAGGCAATGGTTTCTTAGATATGATACCAAAAACTCAAGCAGCAAAGGAAAAAATAGATTGGACTTCATCAAAATTAAGAGCTTTTGTGCTTCAAAGGACACCATCAAGAAAGTGAACAGACACCCCACAGACTGGGAAAAAATATTCGCAAGTCATATACCTGATAAGGATCTGGTATACAGAACAGATAGAGAATACTTATAATTCAATGATAAAAAGATAAATAGCCCAATTTAAAAATGAGCAAAATATTTAAATAGATATTTCTCCAAAGAAAATATACAGATGAAAAGATGCTTAATGTGATTAAAAAAATGCAAATCAAATCACAATGTTATACCTATTCACATCCATTTTGATGCTTGGAACAATCCCTTTGAGTGGCACAGGATTAAAGACACAGGACTATATTTCTCTATAGATTCCATTACTTTAATTGGTTCTTCAGTAATAATAAAAATAACAATGTCTTGGATTATATGTTTCAGAAACACTCTATAGGTAGAGCCTGGGAAACTTAATTATGCTAACAGAAAAGAATATAAGTATCGGAAACCTTGCAAACTTTCACAGGTAGTGTGGTATGGCTGCAGGAGCTGCCAGGGGAGTTGGAAGGAAGTACAGGAGACCTAATTACCTCATCTTTACATACTGAAGGAGTTGAGAGATATAATAGGGAGTTGATGGAACACAATCTAAAAGTTTATTATTTAAATTATAAAAGTAGCCAATAGAGGCATGAAAAAAAAAAAAACCCTGAAAATTTGGGGAGAAGAGTTTGAAAAAAGAGGTAGAAGAAAAATAGCATAAGTGAGCTAATGCCTCATTTTTCATAGTAATGAATTACTATGAAATTAATGCTGCCCAAATGATAAATCAAGAAACAGAGGTATAAGCATGACGGTTACGTAGACTGAAGGAAACCACAGTAAGAACTAAAATAGAAATGGTTAAAAGTGGTTGCCTTTGGGGAATTAACTGCAAAGTAAGAGACTCTTATCATTCATTTGATGCTTCTCTGAAAGGACTGATTTTTTTAAAAACCACATTTGATAATGAAAAAAATATAAAGACCCAGTGAGCAAAAAGACTAAAAAGAATACCCATTACCATAACCAGGCAGACACAACTGCTGTTAAACATCTTGGTGGACAGCTTTCCCCAATCTCACTGCCTGGAAAAATAACACTAGCTTTTCTGAGACATACGGACACCTCTGCCAAAGCTGACAGGCAGGGACAAGATAGGTTAAAATATATGGGGTGTAGGGATATGAGCTAGGCACATGCTTATGTGGAAGACCCTGGAAACCTGAGAGTATGTAGGGACTAAATGCCCTGACATATATTTATTTAGTCACCTCTGACCACCCTTACATGACGTGCAGTCTCAAATATTCACACGTAACAATGTCTCCCCTTGAGTAAGGATTAGCAATTTTTAGAAAGAATACGGGATAAAAATGCCTTTCTGAATTAATTTCTGAGAAATCTGGCTACTTGACGAATAGGAATATCAAGAGCGGAGACCTTTCGGGACCCAGGTCCATGACTCACCCACAATTCTTACCTAGAGAAACCAGGATCTCATAATTGGCTCTCATTACATTCCGGTAAAGGTCCTTCTGCCAGGCCTCTAGATTCTGCCATTCTTGCTCGGAGAAGTAAATGGCAATATCTTCAAATGTCAGAGGCAACTGAAATTACAGACATAATACATATCCAGTCAGGATTGCTTCAAAAGATTTTTGTCGTGAACAGTGTTGTCTGTCCGGCAGCTGCTTCCTCAGGAATGGCTCCTTCTCCTACACCAATTATGTGGCTCTGTGGTTAACCACAACCCCTTCCATGGGTTTCCTCACGAGTGCTCAAACTGTATATGCATATGTATAGCATGGGACTTTTTCTTTTCTTCCTTTTTTCTTTAACAAAAATGGGAACAAATCATTAATATGTAACTTTACTCACTTAATGTCACAGACATCTTTCCAGGTCATTATATATAGGCAAAACTGATTTTTTGTAAGTTGCATTATATTCCACAATGGGAATGGTATATATACCCCACTGATGGGATGATGTGTTATTTCCATTTCCTTTCAAATTACAAACAATGCTATTATTTTTTAAATTACAAACAATGCTGATATGCTTCCTTATGTATTACGGGTTTACCTTCTGTAGGATAAAGTCTAAAAAGGAGAATTATTAAAGGGTATAAACATCTTCAGCTTAACAGATACCACCACTAGGTGGCCTTCCAGAGTCCAGCACCCTCCCACTCCCCCCCACCCCCACCAAGATGAGACTTATTTCTTTATACTGCTGCCAGCACAGGATGTTCTCAAATATTATTACTTTCTTTGCCATCGTGATGGTAAAAGATTATAATTCATTGTTTTAATTTAGCATCCTTTTCATACTTTTTTGGGGGCTGGGGTTCCACATTATCTTTGTGCATGCCTGTTTCCATCCTTTGTTCAATGTTCTTGTGGGCTCTTATAACCTGAACGAACTTTCTTGTATTAGGATTAATAATCCTTTAACTGACTAGCAAATGTTTTCTCCAAGCTTTTCCTTTGTATTTTGAATTTATCTTCTGCCAACGAGAACATCTTGACCCTTTCACTTAGTTAAAACCTGGAGTCTTTCTCATATTATTTCCAACTTTTTAAGAGTTTCCCATATCAAGTAATACAAATATTCTGATTTTTTTTACATTTAGATTTGCACTTTAATTCTACAGATGAGACTGGCATCTTTATTTACATATGGATAGCCAATCACACAACACTATTCTTAGGATTGAAATGCCAACCTTTGGCCTTTGCATATGCAATTGACCCTTTAAACACGTAGGGGTTAGGGCATGGATCCCCACGCAGCAGCGGAAAAGCTGCATATAACTTCTAACTTCCCCAAACCTTCAGTCGTTCCTCCGTATCCACAGGGTATTGGTTCCAGGACACCCTTGGATACTAAAATCCATGGATGCTCAAGTGTCTTATATAAAATGGCCTTCCCCTTCTGCAAATTCCCAATCGTGGATCAAAAAATACTGTTTTCCATCATGGTTAATTGAATCCACAGATGCGAAACCCAAGGATATGGAAGGCCAACTGTATATATACTGAAAAGGAAAATCCAAGTATAAGTTGACCTCCACAGTTCAACCTCGTGTTGTTCAAGAGTCAGCTGTGTTAGGTTTTCATACATATGTGAACCTATGGGCCATTACACTATGTATCCAATTACAGTACCTACACAGTGTGGGAACACTGGGAGGCAAGTCTTCCTCCCTCCTCCCATTCTTTTCCAAGCTACTGCTATAAACTCCTGGAATATTTATCCTTCCTTATAAACTCCAAAATAACTTTATCCTATTTTAAAAAGTAGTACACTGGGATTCAGGTTGAATTTATTAAATTATATATGTATTTAGGAAAGACTGATCTAGGAAAACATTTTACCATTCCATTTATTTGGTCTCGCTCACTTTTCTTTAATAAACTTAATGATTTTCTTCATAAATGTTCTGCATCTTTTTTAATTAACTCTATTTTTGGTATTCTGTGGTTTTTCCAACAACTGCACATGGGACCGCCCCTGCCAAATCTTTATTACTAGAATTTTTTACAAAGTTGTCATTGATTTTTGTAAATTTATTTTGTATCTAATTAATGTAGTGTATTTGTTTATCAATCCTAATAGTATTAAGTTTGGGAGGGATACAGTCATAATTCTCAAATAAAAATAATTTTTCCATCTTTTCTCAAAGTACATTGCTTTTTTCTTATATTATACTTATGAGAACATCTTTTGTGGCTTCAGGGGTTAGTATCTTCATTTGGGAGACATGTTCTATTCTAAGATTATAAAAGACATTCTCCTGAATTCATGTTTTTACAGCTTTATTAATTAAAATGAGAACTTTTCCAACATCGATTCTTTTTGCAAATGATAGCCAATTGTCACATAACTTATTGATTTATCTATTCTTTTACCATTGATTCAGGATTGTTTTTTCGTAAAATAGTTTTCCATTTATACTTCAGTATATTTCTGTTCCACTAGTGAATCTGTCTATTCTTGCTCCAACAGTGCACTATTTAATTCTTATAGTTTCATCAAATGTTTTACTACTAAAGAGGGCATGGCTTTCTACCACCACCTCCATCTTATTTTACACAAAACTGTCTTTACTTCTCTTGTCTATTTTCTCTTCTACATAAATATTTTGCCAAACTTATAAATTCTATTGGGATTATGATAAGAACATACCGAGAATACGAATTTTGGGAGAACTAGATCTCTAAAATATCGGATCTTCCCGTCCAGAAACATATCTCTTTCGTTTATCTAGATATTTTTATGTGCTTTAATAAGATTTATAGTTTTCTTCGTAGAGATCTTACATAATTCTTGATAGAGTCATTTCTAGGGATTTTAGAGTTTGAGTTGCTATGAGAACTGAGCTGAGTAGGAATATACAAAATGCACATACGCACACCCTTCAAGCATCTATCTGGCCCTGTGTGATGGGCCATACCTTTCCACATCTGATGTTAACAACTTTCCATCTGATTTCAGAAAATGTTTCTTCTATTACTTCACAATAACTCACAAGCCCCACCCCTTCTTACACTCACTTCCACAAGCACATTTCAGGCAGTTTTAAAGATTTCTTAACCATTTAACATGCATAAAACTGGTACTCTTCATTATTAGGTTCTTATCTTTTCAAGATGTCACTGACGAACTTTTTGGGTATTGTGTGCCTAACACCATTTCTCCCATAAGCTGTGTTTTTTATTGCACAATTTTGCCTTGCACTGTGATTTTTAGAAATGCATAGGCTGTATCATAGCAGAAATGAACGTGTGTTTTTATTTGTTACATATCCTTATTCTCCTCTTGACTAAATTCCTTACTTTTGAATGTTTTCAAAAAAATGCTCAAAAGCCTTGTTTATTAAAAGATCCAGAAAATTACAGAAAACATTATAACAAGCATCCTAGTATTTACCATTGATTTAACAAATTTAACATTTTTTCCTTCCAATTTCCTTTTAATGAAATAGAATATGATAGATGCAACTCCAGTCCCTTGGTCCACTCTTCAACCTTGTTCTTATACGCAGTCCTTCCTCCCTTCTGAGGAGCAAACAGTATGAAGAATGTGGCAACTCTTCAGTTCATGTTTTTGTTTTTTAATACACATGTCTATAAATTATATATTAGTGTTGTCCTTTATACACAAATGCTTTATTATACTGCAACTTGCATTTTTCATTCAAGATTCTGAGATCTGTCCATAATGATACACAGAGAATTGATTTAATTTTGTAATGTTCTATTGTCTAAATGTCACAATTTCTAATCCATTCTTTTATCCATTGACCACTCTGTTTTCAGTTCTGTAAATTGCCTATTCGTATCCTTTGCCTATATTTTTACTGGGTCACCTGTCCTTCCATTTCTAGGATTTCTTTAATTTTTATATTGTTGACTACATTACGTTACAAATGCTTTCTCCTAGTGTGTGTCTTATCTTTCAATTTTTTATCTTACACTGTACATAGTTTTTTATTTTGATGTAAATATATCAATCTTTTCTTAGGTCATTTTGCTTTCTGTGTTTTTTTAGGAATTTTTTTCCACAGAGGTTACAAAGATATTCTACATTTTCTTCCAAAAGGCTTAAGCTTTACTTATGTTTTAGATTTTTAGTTTATTTGGAATGTATTTTTTTATGTTATACAGTAGTGCTCTAGTGTTTTTTTTTCCTCCCAAATGGAAAAGTCAGTGGTCCCAAACGCTGTTTTTGAAGGTCTCTGTATTAGTTCCCTACGGCTGTTGTGGCTTAAAACAATGAAAATGTATTCTCTCATAGTTCTGGTGGCTAGAAGTCTGAAGTCAGGGTGTCAGCAGGGCCATGCTCTCTCTAAAGGCTCTAGGGGATAATCTGTTCTACGCCTCTCCCTTAGCTTCTGGTGGTGGCTTCCAGACCTGTCATTACTAGAAGCTGCACCAAATACAATCTCTGCCTCCACTGTCACGTGGCATTATCCCTTTGTGTGTCTGGATCTCTGTATCTTTTTTAATAAAAATATCAGTCACATTGGATTAAAAATGTACCCTAACCCAGAATGATCTTATCTTAACCTATTACATCTGCAATAACCCTACTTCTAAGTTAAGATCACAATCTGAGGTCCTACGAAAAACCTGAATTCTGGGAAGACATTATTCATCCCAAGAGAGTCAGCTTCTGTGTTCTCTCTTGGTTTCCACTGCTCTATGTGTCTATCTCTGCACAAAACAGCACAGTATTAATTCTACAGATTTACAGTAAGTCTTACCTTCTAGGGCAATCCCTGCTTCTTTGCTCTTTTTTTCAGAATCACATTTTTACCTTTATTTTTCTAAATAAAATTCTGAGTCTGTTCATCCAAATTCACAAAAATCTTACTGCCATTGATAAAACTACAATAATTTTATACATTACCTAGAAGAAAAGTATTATCTTTACCACATTTAGTCTTCTCATTTATAAGCATGGCATGCTATACTCATATTTACTTATCATATTCTCTATAAGGTACTGCATGTCTTTTGCATATTTAATCCTAGGAATTACGTCTTTTGTTGACATTGTTAACAGTATTTTTAAATTAATAATCTCATGAATTGGTTTA